ATGATGTCATCATTCTGCACCATATACCTGTTTTTAATCAAACCGCTGATTGTGATTTGCCTGTTAACTTGGTGTGTTTCAATCACTCAATTAATTGCAATCAAGCCACTGAAGTCATTTAGATAATATTTTTCAAAATTTTAGAATGATTGAGTCCAAATAATTGGTTGCTTCTTATCATTAAAGTGTCATGCAACACCTAACACACACACACACACATAAACTGACTTATTAATGTTAATTTCAGCATATACTAGTACAATTTTAATATTAAGTTTTTTTTTCATTCAGCAAGATTATTAATGCTGTAAAACTGATCATTGTTAGGTAGAGATACCTAATGTTAATGTAAGAATATTGTAAAATATTACTTGCCATTTTATTAAAAGCATTTACTACGGGACAGATAAAAAGCAAAGCATATCAGCCGGTTTCACTCTTGTGATTTAAGATTTCTCTGACTTGTAGTGTTTCAGATCAGCTTCAGATTATGGGAGTTTGTGAATTATAGTGCAATTTCTTGCATTTGAGAAACGAAAATGAATGAATTTGTCTCGGATCAGTTGTCTTTGTGCTCTGTTGTTAAAGTAGTACCGTGTTCCCTCCACTCTGGGTCTAGCCTGTTCAGAGTCTTTTTGTTCCTGATTTGTAAAGCTTTCTCACACTGTGTTTGCTTGACTAAATGAGTTTGGACTGCAAAGCTCATTTAAATTAGTTTTTTTCTTCATGCACATAGAGATCATAATTAAGATTAGTGAGAAAAACTCAAGATAGTGATCTGTAACAGTTGTCTGACCCTTAAAGGAATGGTTCACCCTTTTAACATTTACATTGCAAAACCTGTTATAGTTTCCGTGGACCACAAAGGGAGATATTTTGAAGAATGTTCATGCTACTCTTTTCCATACAGTCTGTCAAGCTCCAAAAAGATCAAAACAGCACCAATAATAATCCCCATAAAAGTGGTCAGTGCAACTTGTTCACTATATTCCAGGTATTTTGAGGTCATACAACAGCCTAATGTGAGGAAAATCTTCCCCTCCCTGTAGCAGTCAAATCCTTTCACGTTGTCACATATTTAAAATAAACGGTGTGCAAGAGCTTGATCAAACTGGGCAAGTTTGAATTTATGGAAGCACAAATTCATTTTACAACAAAATTAACATCTCATTTTCTCAAATAAACATCATCTATTCTCTTTCACGAAAGATAGAAAGTAAACACGGGCTTGGAACATGGTGAGGATGAATGAACAATGACAGAGCTTTAATTTTTGGGCAAACTGGTCATCATTAATCTCTCCAGGAGCCTCTCTCAGAGTAATCAACAGCTGCATTTCTGCTCTTCAATCACGTGTCTGTGGTGTTAACAACCGTGCGGGGTTGCAGTGTGTGTTGTTACGCTGGACTGACTGTTACATTTTCACGTATGAAGTGTTAAAGAATGCGCAAACACATTCTAAACATTTTAAATTGATTTTTGAATTAAGTTAATTTTTTCAGCTACAACGGAGAGCAAGATTTTCATTGAATGGCTTGAATTGTGGTCTCTTCCTCACACAAAGCTCTCATATGGCTTTTAAAGACTGGGAATATGGGACTTCTATGGTACTTTCTAGTAGTCGAAGGCCCATATTTGGCATTTTTTAAGTTATTGGCATTAGTCGTTAGGTTTTCGTGTCATTCTTGTCATATTCGCTGTTTACGGAATGTAAAATTAGCATCACCTGAACTTTATTTGAGAAAATATGATTACCAGTGTGCACACTTACGAGATTAAAGAGTGTGGTATTTTTTACAGCTTCCTTTCTAATCATGTTTTTAACAATTTCTTTGTTTGCGAAAAATACTGCAATAAGGAACTTCTTCATTATGAATTCTATCTAAAATATAAATATGTGTATTTTTTTTTACATTGATTCATTTTCAAATGATTTCTAATTCAGTTAAGATTGTGTGAAATAAATATGATTATTAGCAGCATGTGTTATTTGCTATCTTCAAATTAAATATCATAAATATTACCTTTACATCTGCTCTCTAAGATGTTGACATTGGCCACCAAAAAATCCACATTGGTCAAGCATTTTCCTGCTTTTTGGTGGTTGACAGCTACAGTCCACCGTCTGCTTTTGTTGTATGGAAAAGAGCAGCATGAACATTCACCTAAACATCTCATTTTCTCTTTGACGAAAGATAGAACGTAAATACAGGTTTGGAACATGATGAGGAGCAGGCACGTGCACAGGTAGGGCTCAACCTGTATAGAGCACATGCCCTTTTTGCCCTTACACTCCGAAGTGCCCTTTTTTTGGTGATGGTGTTTTTTTTTTTCCTTCAATAAATCAATGATATTGGTCACCCTACATCTGTCTGTCTGCTTTACAAATATTTAGCTAATGAAAGGTATTAAAAAGAGCTTGTGACTAAATCTTGTTGGATCCGCTCAAACTGTCAGTAAACCTCATAACTCCACCCCTCTATCTTGACTGAATGAACTGAAGTTCCACAGCAGCTGAACTAGGTCTGCAAGGGTAAATAAAGATCTTGTTGTTTGAATAAGTACAGCGTTTTCTTTACGCAAGAAACA